TGTGGAGTTGGATGCTTATGCTTCCGAACTGCCAGCATCCCACCCTTTGTTTACAGGATTCCAGAAAGGAATCCAGGAATGAGCCTTGCAGTCAGCATCTTGGCTCACAACAACCCTCTCTCCCATTGATTGAGAAAGATTAGGGTAAACAAACAAATAATTTTATTTTCCAAGAAGAAGAAATAAAAGCAACACAAAGGAATCAGATACCTGGAACAACAACAAAAAAATCTATTTAATTTGAAAAGACATCCAGTATCATGTCCATCTAGGCATGCATTGTGTAAGAAGAAAAGATAAAGGATCAAAAATGCATGCGTGAAATGCAGTTCAGGAGTACAAAACAAATATTGACAGAGAAATATGCATCAGCAGATTTATATTAGTGGCATGAGACTCCAGTTTTGCTATGCTGCCTAAATCCTGGTGATAACCTTTGTGGAATAGTGCTCACACATTAGCATTTATTTTGAAGTTTCTAGATACTTGACACTTTCATTTCCTGAGTCAGTTAGTTATGTCTTATTGAAAATATGTATGTTAGAGAAAGAATTCACGCATTTCTGATTTGTCCTCGGATGCTGCTGCGTATTTTAATTTATACAAACGTTTTAAACACTGAATATAGGAATCAGAGCAAGTCAGAGAAATGCCATGTAAAAATGAAGAGTGCTTGGGAGATTTTTTTCCAGTGTGCCTGTGACCTAACACAGCATTCCTTCCATGTGGGAAAACGTAGTGTCAGGAAAGTAAACAAATGTTTAGACTGTGACCCTGGAGCACAGTCGCATTGCACAGGTGAAGCTCAGTAGTTTCAGAGAAGAATGTGAGATCCCATCAAACCCATAGAGGACAGTGCTAACAGTAGCCTGTGATTCCTGGGTTCTTTTAACCAGAATACACTAGCTTTAATTAGTGCTACGTTAGTCTGTGAAGTGGATGAGTATTACAGGCAGATGGATCAGGTAGATCCCTAGACTTTTTGTTGTAATCCAAACTTGACCAAAACTTCTGATTACTGATCTAGTTTCAGTGCTTTTATCCCTCTGTGTCTTCTGTGGCCCCCCTCTCATTGCCTGTGTGTTGGAGGATATTTTACTGCCATCCATCTGTAATCAACAGCCATATGAAATCTTCCGCAAATGTTAAGGTGTGTCTGATTCATCTCCATTTCAAGTCATAAACTGTTGGGGTTTTATGTGGTTTTTTCTACCTTTGTTCCCTACCCCACCCTTTCCTGCAGCAGGAGGAGCTCAGAGACAGGGTTAAGCTCTTTGTTTTTTCCAGTTAGAGCAATGCTGTTTCTGCATTGTGAGCATCACAGTTACAATGAAAGACTGCTTTAGAAGAGGCAGGCTTTAGGAGGGTGTCCAAAGGACCACCAAATTCAGAAATATGTTTCCAGTCCAAACTCCTCAACAGAAAATATGTCCCCTATTCTCATGGGCTTTTCCATGTCTGTACAGGTAGTGTGAGAACCCCGGGTCATGAGAAGTCATCCCATGCACAGGAAACGTCACCACAATGCACCCAGCGTGTTTCTTATGAAGAGAGTAAAGATTAATTTAGGGTAAAGACCATTTGTAAGCTGTTTCAGTTTCTCTTGGTAAAACAGTGGAGGAGGCTGAGAAGGTTGGACTTCAAACTGCGCTGTAGAAAGATTCATCATTTTCCACGGCATTGTGCTGTGCTCAACTTGATTTTTCCTTTCTAGTTAGCAAACGTGTGTGTTACAAATACTTGCTTCCACCTGTAGGTGTGCATATTTTTGTGCTCATATAAGGAGGACTGAAGAAATAGAAGTGTTGTAATAACAAGTGAAATTAAAACAATATCTCACTAAGTTAAGAAGAATGCTAATAGTATTTTTGTGGTGACTATAGACAAATAATTTGCCCAAAAAACTAAGTGGCCGAAATTACAGTTTTCTATTGAAAGTACTCAACTATATTAAAGAGATAAAATTAGGTTTTTAGATTAATTGAGTTTGCTGAACTTCATAGCGGGGAAGCATCAAGAAGAAAGTGTTTGACTTACAGATTTGTTTGTAAGTAGGTGGGAGAGGGTGGACAGGAAAGAGGAAGAGAAAGCAAGCTACTTTCTGCTGCTGAAATGGCCTTTTATCTAAATATCACTGAAAGGTTGCGTTTGGTGATTTCCACGCTGCAAAATACATTCATTGTATCTTGCAGGAGTTTATTTCATTTTCTTGTGGAAGACTTTTCCCTGTTCTTGCTGAGGTCACCCACTTGCTCAGAATCCTCAGGAGGGCTTCAGAGAGTGACAAGAAGCCTCTTCAGGGCAAACTTATTTTTTTTGTCCTTGGTAATCAAGATTCTGGTCAGTGGGAGAGAAGGACATTGAGCCAGCTCATGAGGGGAACCGAGACTGAAGGAGCAGACTGAGAGGGGGAATCCTGGCCATGTTGCAGATCCAAAATACTTACTGTTTCAGAGAGTATTCATTTCCACTTTTTGTGTATTGCTAAAACATTTTCAACCAGAGAAGCTTTTTACTAAGATGTTATCTGAAGAATGAAGTTGACTGAAGGAGCCCTCTTGATGTTTTGAAATGGGTTGTTCAGGAACAGGAACGCTAATTTGTAAGGTTCAGAGAGTGGTCCTTACAGTCCAGAGAGTCCAGACAGTGGTAAAATTGCAGTTCGGTAAGTACCCCACAATTGCTTTTTCACTCGTTCTTGGAAGTGATGGCAAACTTTTAGTAGGATTGCATCCCCATTTTTTTTAAAGCATTAAACAAGCTGTCACACTCTCTTTTTCTCTATTATTCCCTTCAGGTAGATGTATCAGTAACATTTCGCCTTCCACTGCAGTTGCATTTTCTGCTTTGGCATGCCTCTTTACCCGATCAAATGCCGTAGGCCCAGAGCACTATGGCTGTAGAAGAGTACAAAGTAGATTTTTGTCTATAATTGGAGTAGCCTCTTTCTCCTGCTTATTGATGTATGAATTGGAAAGATCCTGTTTCTTACAGTTGTGTAATGAGTGTCAAAAAAAGGTAGGTGTTAGGGTGAAAGAAGATTTGATCTCAGCTGACACGTTTGTTTCAATGGGTAGTTTGGTAGGAGATCTGTTTTTTTCAAGAAGAGAACAGACGAAAGCACTTTGCCAAGACAGTTGTGGAGATAAGGAGAATATTAGCTTGTAGTTGTACAAGCTAATCATCAAGGGATTATTTTGGGGCCGAGATAATCATTGTTTTTGCTTCAGATCTTGCAAGCAATCAGAGTGAGACCAAATGTCCAAAAGTTTCAAGCCCGTAGGATGCGCAGCTGAGCAGAGTGGCATTTGCTTCCCACGGCCAACTGCCAGGACTGAAGGTAGCAGGCTAGAAGTGGCATCTGATGAAGATATTTTCTTCCAGTCATGGGCTTTTGTGCAAATAGAACACCAAATAAATATTCACGTAACAGAAGGAAGGCTTGTTCAGAAGCCTTTTCTGCACAGTGGAAATGACCATTGCTTGTATTGGGGGTCAACAACAGCTTTTCGTGCTTCTGTTGAAGCTACAGTTGAAAACTGGGCTTGCAGCAAAACTTTGTGAAGTGCAAAGCTGCGCACATTACCAACATCCACTGTCTGCAGTATTAGTAACGGCAAAGCCAAAGGCTATGGGTAGATGCATCATGCCATCTTCTGGGTAGGGTTTGCCTGAACATAAATTACATCAACCTTTGGGATTGCTGGCTGCATGAGTGATACCAGTCTTTGGCACTATCTGAGAAAACTAGTGTGTTAGTACTACCTTTAATTTGGTAGGAATCCTACCTCCATTGTTTTTTATCAAAAACATGATCATAAAGTTGTAATTGTTGAAACGGTTGTAATTCAAGAGAGTGATCAGAGCACCTGTCGTTTGGGTTGGTCAGGCTATGCGGTGACTAGAGGGAAGTCATCCCTGCCTGAGCTAGCACAACTGTGGGAGGGATCCAGTTTGCCCAGCTGCAGCATCAGGCCTAAGCAAGTCATCTAAATTCTTTCTATAATTAGAGAGGGAGAGATATCTTCATGGGGTGATTCATCCCACCTACCTTGGAAAATGGTGACTCATTCTATGGAAGTGCCTGTGTCTCACCATTGACTATATAGAGAACCTGGGCAGTGAGTTGAGATCATATACTTGCCTCCTATGCAGTTTAGGTGAGATAAAACCCTTTCCGTAAGTGATAAGAGCTCATACCTATGTTCTTAAGCAGTCTTGGGTAATTGGTAGGGCTGATGTTTAAATCAAAAAGCTCAGACTGGACTTCCCCATCTCTTTTATTGTAGTATGGCATAGATGGGAGGTCTTGAAAGGCATATCCTATTAATGCAAATATACTTGAATGAGATGGTACCACTAGCAAATATAAACCTTCAGTTAACCTGTAGTAGATTTAAAAATAATTCACTTTTCCTGTATGCTTATAGCTAGCTGTTCATAGAACAGCCTCGCATAGTAATTTCACGCAGTTGAGAAAGAGCCCTACATCCTGATCTTTTGGACTTCTGTGTTTTGACACAGGATCTTTTCTTCTGACAGTGATGGTCATAACTCTTTCAAACAGCAAAATCTTGAAAGTTTAACTATAGAAAAGCAAGTGTAGTAACAAATTCTGTCTCATACTCAACATACCATGTACATTCCTTTTTCTTAATAGCACCAAACCTTTCAATAAACATGTTAGCGTACGTTTCTTACAGCTCTTCTACCCACTCACCAAGTGCTGACCTGAAGTCCGTCCTTTTCAGCAGAAGCTTCTTTCTTTGTGCTCCTGCTCTGACTGGCTGTTGCTATCACCAGTGCTGGGTGAGGTCCAGTAGAGGACCCTACTCTTTTTCTATTTTCAGTAAACTTTAGTGTGAGAGCTAGTAATCAGATGTTAAATTTACAGTTAATCTGAGAATGGTACCTGCCCATTAGTTGTGATTTATGCTGTATAGAAGGATTGATTATTTATGCTGATTATTTTGTTAATTTTTTAGATGTGGACTTAACTGATGTTATGATATGCAAAATCCCTCCACACATGAAGAGCCCTCTGTAAGTATGATCAGTGTAAGTAAATTAACAATGTATCATTAGGTGAGAAATTAATATTGCAATTTAAATAAATAGTTGAGAACTTAGAGAACCTTGGAAAATTATTATGCTAGGTAGTATTTAAATAGAAATAGTTTCAAAACAAAGAAAGTACCTGACCCTATTTTAACTTCTCAAGGATTGACCCCTTTTAAGGATGTCAGCGACTTCAGAGATCTTAGCTGAAAAACAATTGGACTCTTTAACCTAACTGCTGTCTGACTTGTACCTATATGAACATGTTAGTTATTCTCTAATAAGGTATTGTAAGATTTGGGGGAAGAGGCTATGGCATCCTGTCTAAATCTCTGCAAGCACATTTTGTAGGTGTTCTGTTTCATTAGGCAGTTAGGTTTAATGGACTTACAAACCATTAAACGTCACATTACATGAAAAACAAACCAAGGAAAACCTATTGCTGAAAGAAGGGGAAAATATAGGAGGATGGAAAGACTTGGAAACTGGCAAAGAATTTTGGTGGAAGTTTTATTTGACCAGATCTTAGGACATTCAGTACTATTCGAGAAAGACTGATGGTTCCCTAGCCACTTAACCACTTAAACATTTGTGGGGGGAGGGGGGGGAGGAAAAAAAAAAAGTTTTTTTACTGTGAGTGATCAAACTTTAGAACAACGAGGTTAGCCAGAGATGTTATGGCCAGAGAGGTCCATTCTTGTCCAAAACCAACTGGACACAGTCCTGAGCAACTTGCTGTAGGTGACCTTGCTTTTGAGCAGGCGGGTTGGATTAGATAACTACAGAGATCCCTTCCAGCCACAACTATTCTGTGATTCCTTATGAATTGGAAAACTGCCTGCTTTAATTTTTGGCTGTCATAAATTATATCTATAAACAGAGTGTTGTTTTGTATGCTGTCACTGAGTTTCCAAGCTTTTGGGGAGGGGATGTTCAGAGCTCTCAATTTTTGCTTCTTCCACTCAGGAATTCCCTTTTTTCTTATTTGAAATTGGCTTATGACATTATATTGTATAAACCTTAGTTGAATCACCGAGGCAAATTATTAGTTCTGAGTGGCAACAGACTGGCCCATCTGGTGGACACGGCCCAAATTCCTTCCTTCCTAGAATGAGCTCCCCATTTAAAATCTCATTCCTAAGCTCATGTAGATGGCCAAGGTTGTGTTCAATTCAGTTGCCTTTAGATGCTTAACTTGCATCTGAATTTTAGATGTCTAGTGAACCAGTGCTAGTTAAGAAGATGCTTGAGTTCCCTGTGGAGAGGGAGATTCTTTTGAAATCCCTCAGAGGGAGATGCTGACTAGTTAAATTCAGAGACTTAAGTTAGGCAGGTTGAATGTTCCTTTGGAAGCCTTCAGACAGTTTTAGACAGTTTTAAAATTCACTATTTAAAACACAAGTAAAAGTTAGGTGCTTTATTTAATTAGAATGCATCTTGCCCATTGTTAGGTCCATCAACCTAAAAGGAAAAAAATTTGCTTCCATTTTACAGCACGGTTTAAATGTTTTGTAAAATGTATGAGGGGCTGCTGTGAAGGTATTAGTCACTGAATTACTACCTTTCATGTTTATCAGATTTTACTCCTAATCTCACTTCCTAAATGAATGGAGTTTGTCATAATAGTATGAAATGAATACAAAAGTTCCATAACTGCAGTGCTAACGTGGCTGACAGAAGGAACATTCAAATTTATCAGCCAAACCAAAAGCACCACATTTAACAACATAACCAAATTTTCTATAGGCTGTGTGTTTCTTTCCTACTGTAACGTTTCACTTCATAGGCATTATGAGGGGAAGAACAGCTGTCATGGTTGTCTGTAGAGCAATAAAGTGTAGGGTGAAGGAAAGGCACAGAGGCTGCCATGTGCCACATCGGCAGGCATAGCCTTTTGCTTTTTCTTTCCATCACCATCCCAGCCCAGTAGGTTTTTATTTATAGTTTTCAGTATCCCTTTCTCATGGCAGTAGAGCCTGGAACAACACAGTGTGCTGACACTAACAACATTTCCTGCCCTTTTGTTCTGCATTCTGCCAACCCATTGTCCCTTTGTCCTTATCCCTTGTCCTACCTCTGCGGAGGCCCCATCTGACGAATTTACTTGTGCTCCCCAGGGATTATGAAAACCAGGAAACTTCATTAAGGATGGTTTAATAACTTAGACAAAGGAGAACAGCAGCTGGTCTGTTAACGAGCCTGTCTCAACCTCAGTTCTCTGACAGAAGAGCCATTCTTGCATGTGGTACAGTCTTCAACAATTTGCAGTAAAATGCTACAGATGTACAGTTCCTGCAAATTCAGTTACTGTGCATTGGATCTGCCTTGAGTGGGTTTTTTTTGAATGAAGTGAAGCAATTTTATGGCAGTAGGTGTGCTGCTGTTAAAAAGAACAGTAGCTGATAGTGACCTAAAATTTTGGTGTATGTTTTTTGCTCTCTTTATTGCTTAGCACGGTAATGTTAGAGGAATAGCAATTGGAGACAACCTGCTGCACTCTGCTACTCTGTAAGACAAACATCAGTAAAGCCAAGCAGCAAGAAAAGAAGGCTTCTTCATGACAAAATGACAGCAAGAGAACACAGTCCTCGCCACGGTGCAAAATCCCGCACCGTGCAACGGGCCTCCACCATTGACGTCACCTCTGAGATGCTAGGCCTTTCTCTAGCAGGTATGTACCTTCATGTCAGCTATTGCTCTGTTGCTCCTTTCAGAATCTACCTTGTACTAACATTGTTTGGGTTTTTTTCTTTTAATTGCTGGAAGATTTAGATGTGTCTGGTTATCTGGAGGGAATGAGATAAAGGAATTATACTAAAAAATTTTAAAATCTTAAGCTTACCAGTTTTAAATAGACAAAACATTAAAATTGGAGAGGGAAGGAAAAAAGAAATTAAACTAGATTTTGTGCAGTTATGTTTGTCAGTGAAAAATAAGTAACAGGGGAAGAAAACAACAAAAGAATGTCAAGGTCTAGGAAGAGTCTTAGCAACCTCCTTGTTTGACATTGTATAAAATTTTCAAGAGAGTTCAGGGAGCTGAAAATTATCTCCCTCATCTTTTATGGTTAGTAAATTAGGATTGTAACCCCCAGAGGCTTTCTTTGGTTAGCGAGAGAGACAGGTACTTTCAAACTTCTCCCTATTCACTGATCACAGAGGAGATGTATCTGATTTAATAATTTGGAGTTAATAGTGGCTGAGACACTAAATGGCTTTAATCCTGTTTTTTTCCACTGAGATACAGCATTTTATATTCCCATATTCCATATAATCTTGCATAGTTTTACATGTTTTAACATGTTTTGTAAAATGAGATCATTTCAGGTTTTTCAAATAATTTTTAGATACCAAAGATTAGCTAATAAATATTTTACATACCAGTCATGGATGGCTCATTGAATTAAAAATACTGAATTTTTCTATAAAATTTAATTTCTTTCTCTGTATGACTGCAACTTCAAGAAAGTATTTACATGACAGCAATATGTGGCTAATGTTATGTTAATTTTTCTGATTTACAGGAAACATTCAGGATCCAGATGAGCCGATTTTAGAGTTCAGTTTAGGTGGGCTTTGTGATTTTTGTGTTAATTTTGATGATACATGCTATTGAGTATGTGTGCGGTTTTTTAATTGTTGATTCTGAAGTGCCTATCATATAGTAAGGACTGAAATTTTGCTTTGATTTTTGTGGAGATGTGATACGGTTTTCTTGCTGCTTGTACAGTATCTTTTGATAAGCAACCAGCAGTTTGATTTTGTGATGTTTTTAAAAGTCTGTAATTAAAACACCTGTCCTATAAAATTTTAAATGTTTGCTATGTGAATGTTATTTTTAAATGTTTATTTTGATTATGTGAAGATACAGTGAAACTGTCTTCAGTCTCAATATATTAGCAGTTCAGGTCTTCAAACAAACTGAAGATTTGCTGGAAACACCATTTTAGGACAGATATTTTCTAAGAGTTACCAACTATTACACATACCTTCTTTCCTGTGATCTTTGCTGTCAAGTGATAATGTGAGATGCAGAAGGGACCTAATTTCTGAGATGGTTAAATTTGGACAAGAAGCTTGTGCATTGACTCACCTCATTTGAAGAATAAGTGACAAATATTTTCTTCGTGAAAATTCAGTCCACATTTTCAACTGCAGCATGGTTTTCTTGGCTTAATAGTGGACTAATGTTTGGAAAGTTATGCTCTTAACAGTATGTTTGAAATGAAAAATTGGAAAAAATTTCTCAGATGCATATAACTGTGTTAGGAATAATAATCTTATCAAGAACTTCTTAGAGCTGAATAAGGTACTTTAAATATTTTCAGATAAATTAAAAATATCTAGAACTGTAAAGCTGTTTAGTATACATTTAAACATTCTGCTTACTCAGGTGAGTTTCAGAATTAACTTTCTGCATCTAGCTGAAGCAGAGTCGGACCACACTGTAGTTACCTGTATCTAGCTAGATAGAATTTGGCTCTGAAGTTTAATGTAATTGTGTAGAGTCACTCTCTGAAATTTTTGTAGTTGTTTCTGACTCACCATAGTCCCTTCCCAGCAGTTAAACTCTCAATAACATTTTAGAGGAAAGACATTGCTGTGCTTTTACAATTACAAGCTAGTTCTCCTCCTAGTCGTGTTGCTTGATCAACGTTCAAGCACTTCTGTTGGTTCTCCATGGCAAAATGCCATTTGGTAATGGGCTTAATGGAGCGTGACTTCAAATCAAATGCAGCCGTGCTCATGAGATTCCCAGAGGAAAACCTATGCATGTACACTGCTCTGATGAGCTGTGCCGGGGGGTGGATAGGCAGGTGCTAGAAGAGAATGAGTTTAAATTACAGCCTTACTGCTTGGAGCCAAACTGGTCTGATTGAACCTTTACTGTTTGCATCCACAAAGGTGAGTGATGTCTGCCTCCATAGTGTGGCAGCGGAATGAGTATTAGACTCTTTATGGCTTTATTGCTCAGGGTGTACCATATGTTTTTATAAAAATGTAGAGTCTTACAGCAATATGAAAAAGATTCTGAATCTAAATTTATTTATCTATTGCATATCTAAAGCTTGCAGTGAGCTGCTAACTCCATCGCTAGATCGAAAACCAAATAGTTTTGTAGCAGTGAGTGTAACTACACCTCCTCAGGCATTCTGGACGAAGCATGCACAGACAGAAATTATTGAGGTAAGTGGTGAGGTACTCCTGGATTAGATTTAAAATTGAAGCTAACACAGGAAGCATTTCTTCCTAACAAATTTCACCTTGCATTAATGTTTGTCTTTTGTTTATGATTACAGGGAACAAGTAATCCTATCTTTCTAAGCAGCATTGCCTTTTTCCAAGACTCTCTTATCAATCAAATGACACAAATCAAACTCTCCGTGTATGACGTCAAAGATAGATCTCAGGGAACAGTAAGTTTTCTTTATTCTGTTGCCTGGTCAGTCAGTGTGGAGCAAGGAAACGACAGGCAAGGAGATAAAACTAGTAACTTTTGTGGAAGAAAGCAAAGGGATAGCAGCATTGATCCTGGAGAAAGCAAGATGGGTACGGGAAGGAGGGACAGATGCTGTGAGATGGACTTGGCAGTGTGGGGAGCTTTGAAAGTTTTCTCAAATACGTCTTGTCTGCAGCAAGTTCGGGAACCAGTGATTGAAATTAAGATAAATTAATCCTGTCACTTGTTCTCTTATGTTGTGGACCTCTTTACTGAACTAGATAATGAATGGGATCCAACACCCCTAACTGAGGCCTCTAACCTGTGCCAAAAGGTTGGGCCTGTTGGGCCCATAATGGAACAGTCCTTTTGAACAGAGCTGCTAAATTCCACAAGTCACCCTGCCCTGACACCTTAGTGATTTTGTTCAGGGGTAACATTTGTTCCCTTACTGAAAAACATTTGAGTGCCAGCCCTCTCATGTAACTACTTGGATCTGTGGGCAACTCAGTCCATTTATTCTCAGACCACTGCCCAGAATACTGTTTCAGGCTCCATATGTCTGCTTTTCCGTGGCTTCTTCAGGGGCAGCAGAGGTGTCCCTCTCTGTACAGTGCTTCATGGGGAGGCTCTGGGGAAAAAGGAATGCCTCTGGAGGAGGTAAATTCTTCAGGAGGAGCCAAGTTTGGGTCAGGGAGGGACTATGAAGTGTTCACATGCTCAGTCTGAGCCCCATTCAGTGATTGCTTTCAGTATTCCTGTATTGCTGGGCCACAACTTGTATACATCGAGGTACCTCCACTCAAATCCTAGAGAAAGAAAAATGCGTATTGTCCTCAGTAGAAAAAGGATTTTTGATAAATTATCAAATGTATTAAATATTAAAGGATTTTGATTAGTTATGTATGGGCATATGTAATTATATTTTTGTTCTCAGACTTTTGTGCATAATGATTGTATTTTGGGCTTTAGTGCTGTGGACAAAGCCTTTGTTTATTGTAAAGGTAAATAATTGCAATTCTGGTACCATCTTCTTTCAGATGTATTTATTGGGTTCTGGGATGTTCACTGTAAAAGAACTTCTTCAGGAGAAGAATCACAGGTTGCACTTAACACTAAGGTTTGTAATATTCTCCTTCATTTAGGAATTTATTCTTAATTCTTGAAAGCATGCTTAAGATGTGATGAAAACTTCTGTGAGATGTGATGAAAACCTTTTGTTTGGTTGGTTGGTGGTTTTTTAGTTCCAGGCCACTATTAAGGAAAAAACTATTTTATACTTGTCACCGTTTAAGGCTGGACCGGAGCTTAAAGCGGGTGGCAGATGCTGTGTGTTAACCTCAGCCTTTCCCAGAGGGGGAAAGAGAGGAGAAAGGGGAGAGAGACTTAGGGGTTGGAAACTTAAAACAAACTTTAATAAAACAGTAACAGTGAAAAGAGTATAAATAATATTAAAACTAATACTACTAATAATAGAAATAGAAATATACAAAACCGATACTGCTCTTCCCGATGATGACTGTGGGACCGCGTGCCATGCCGCGGCGGCTCGCAGCGCTGACAGGGCAGGACGGGCACCCAGACCTCACAGAACTTGACTGCACAGCGGGCAGGAAACTGGATTGAGGGGGGCACGGTCAGGGTCGGGGGCAGGGGAGCGAGCAGAGTCCCACCGGGATGTAGAGGACTGACCCTCGTGATCCCCGAGCTTTATACCGAGTATTCCTGTGGGTGGGATGGAATACGGCACTGGTCAGGCCTGGGTCACCTGTGCCCTCTGCAGCTTCCCAGGGGTGCGACCCCTCCTCCACCTTCCCCCCATGGGGAGCCGAGCAGAGCCCAAGAGAGCCCGCAGGGAACAAGCACCCACCCGTGGGCCTTTCTGCGTAACAATCCCGCTCCTGCTCCTATGCCAGCAACAACTACAGACATGAACTGCCATCAGCTCTGAAAGCAGGCACTGCCTGAAACCTGTAGTCAGCTTCAGACAGTGCAGTTACTAAGAAAACTTAACAGAAGGAAAAAAAATAAAGTACTGAAAGCAGAAATAGTTCTGTTTCAGCCAAACCAGGACATACTGCATGATAATTAAAACATGTAGAACAAGAGCTATCCAACACGGTGAATAATGTTAGACATTGGTTCTAGTTCTACACTTCATGAAAGTATTGTCAAGGCCAATTTCATTTTTGTGCATTTCATCCTATCACCTCAGCGTATGTGCCTGTGGAGAGTGGCGAAATAGAGTATTTTTAACTGTGCTGATGTATAAAGAACTTGTGATGGGGAGAATGAAACCCATTGAAACAGAGGGTTATCTTAGCTGTTTAGAATACATTGTCTTAGGTAAATCTAGGCTCTATTTATTATTTCAACATCTACCTGTTGCTAAATTGTGTATTTGTTGCTAAATGGTGTATTTATCAATATAATGCACTAGGAATAGGAGGAGTCATGTTACGGCAACATTGATTGATGTAACTTTCTAGTTTAATTCATATTGGAAACTTTTGTGGAGGGAACATGACTCAGGAGGAAATGAAAAAGAGGACATGAGTCTAATACCAGTCCTTGAGGTAGTACTTCTAATCATAGGAATCAAACCACACTCTTGAAAGCCAGTGTGGGACAAAGTTAAGTAGAGGATTGGGGAAGAATGAAGGAAACAAAGTGAGATTAAGGAAAGAGCGCTCTGATGTGTAAATGCACAGTGTAGTAGTGTGTGTTGAAAGTAGGACAGGCA